ATGTGTGTGTGTGTCCATCAACAGACAACTCAACTCCAGTAACTCAACTCGAGTAATTTTGGTCCGGATTTGATGAAATTGTGGCAATGATGTATCCACCTGGATAAATTCGAGAACTAGCAGGATCAGGTTTTTACTATTTTTCCAAAATTGGTTTTCCACGTTTTTACCCTTAAAACATAAAAATGCCCAATTTCTAATTTAACCGTCATGTAGGCTAAAAAAACAAATAATTTGTTATGTTATAAAGCGTTGTTGTAGGATTAAAGGGAGGATACAGAGAAAAATCCTAAAATTCATTTGAAATTACCACGTTAATCTTATGGAGAAAAAGTAAACTGTTGTAGTTTGCTTGTTTATGGATATATTTTGATAAAATCAGCAAATTTCTTTCTTTATATTTTATTAATATTTTTACAAAAAAGCACCTTTGTTTATGTAAGGCTAAATTGAGTACGGTAATCAATTAAAAAACTTACTGAAATGTCTAACAACGTGACAAAATACAAATAAATACTGAGTACCTCAGTTATAGAATCTTTTAAGCAATACTTGTCAATCATAACTATGAAGATTAGAACATTTGGAACCCAAAGTCTACAACTGATAATAGATTACTGTAAATATTTGTTTTGTACTCCGACAATGCTTTAAAATATGAATTTAAAGTTGTTGTGTACAGGAATGCTAGTCCCAAACAAGTAGCAATTATGCTAAATAAGTACTAAACTGGACCAAAATCCAACTCATCTGCTCTAGTCAATGAAGACTTCAATCTTCCACTAATTATACACAAGAGAAACCAATTAGAAGTGATAATTAGTGATTTGAGTTGGAAATGTTGTTTTCGTTAGTTCAAGTCAGATTTTGTTTTTAAAATTACGGCTTGTGAGTTGAAATCATAACGTTTACATCCTTTTAGTGAATTTCCCCTATTAGGAAATAGCTAATTTTGGTCTTAATGGTAAGACCTACGTCCAATATCTCTGTTATGTTGAATAAAAACACTTTTAAGTAAATTTTAACATTTTCCAATTTTGGGAAATTTTATTAGACCGACATCCAAATTAAATCCATTGTAACCGACCTGATCTAACCCTGATCTAACCGTTCTAAGTGTATTTTGAATGGGCTTAGATTTGTTTCTCGAAGTAAAAATATTTTTATTGTTTTCAACAAGTCAATACAGCTTGAGACAAAAAATTTAATTTATTACATTATGATTCCATGCAATAGCGAGATATTTTAAATTTTAAACATACATTCACGCATGTAATCCTAAAGTAGAATAAACTATAGTTCGGCCGCTTAGAAAGCGACCTCCTCCAGCATTGGTTTAGCATTAGCGTGCAGGTCGTTTTCTAAGCGGCCGAACTATAATTACTGTTTAATCATTGTTATGGAATCGATATAAGAGAATACCTTCATAAACTATTCCATACTGTTTTACTTCATGGCAGGTTTAAAAACTCGTTTATTTTTCCTAGAAACTGTGATTTTCTATTTATCTCTGGCTTGAGTTTAGGTTTGAATCTACTTATATGTTGTAGACTATTTAAAATTAAACCAAAAAAGGAAATTGACTTGGTATGTAGATTCGGTGCATATTGACCTTTATAATGCAATCTGTGACATGGGTGAAACAGTGGTAGAGAAGAGCTCAGCAGCAGTTAGGGGCTAATTGAACTTCATAAAGTGAATTAATTAGATTTGATTCAGAGTTACAATGGCATCATAGCTGTACTATCTAAACTAGTCAGATTAATAGCCATATTTGGAGGAATCTTGTACCCATGTAAGAATCTTTTTACTTTTATCTTAATTTGAAGTTTTGGTCTGTGTTTAATTTTTTTTACTACAACACTGTTTAATTAAATCAGATAATTGACCATGTTCAGTCAATGGTCATGGTCAAATTTAATTGAAATAAATGTTTTTTGTCAGGAATAAAGCCCACAGTGAAATTATAATTTTTCAAAATTAACCATAGTCCTGTCATTTTCAAAGAATGTTCTTTGAAATAAAATCATTTATGCCTTATTATTTATTGTAGTACTGTAGTGTCATGGCATGGCTAGTTTAATGATTCTGGTCTACTGGCCCAGAGGCTAGGTGACAATGCCGCCAACTTCTTCCATTAACACGTTCACTCCGGGATCACTCGTGAGGCACGAATCAAATTTCAGTCAAAAGTAAATTTGTGTACAAATTAAGACTTTAAAAAATACCTTCGCCGCAGCAAACCTGCAGACTAAGCGAATTTCCATTTGCCCGATTGGATTTACACTAAAATGTCTCCTTAAAAATATCCCATTCATTCCTTATTTAAATTAATTTAACGAGTACTTAAGTTTGCTGCAACAGGGAGGGTAAAAGTGATTTTTTTTTGTAAAATGTTAATAGTTTAGTAAGAAATAAATGCATTTTCCAAATTTGATAAAAAATATGTTCATAAACAAGCAAACTACGACAGTTTACTTACTCACCATAAAAATAACATGGGAATTTAAAATTTACAATTTTTTGGAATTTTCTCCGTAACCATTAGGCGCATAATAACGCTTCAATATACTAAATTATTCGTTTTTTTAAGCTCTACAAAATGGTTTGGAAAAAAATTGCTAAATTTTATGTTTTTTGTGTCAAAAATGAGAAAACCCAATTTTTACCCCATAAAACCCCCCCTGAACCCCCGTTCCCATAGTCCCATCATGCTGGTTCGTGAACTTGTTCGAATAAATGTATAGGTTTACATGTTTATACCGAATTTCATCAAAATCGGATCATTTTTGCTCGAGTTATCGTGCTAACGGACACACACACACACACACACATATATATATATGAATTTGAACGGATGGTGTTTTTGGCCTCAAGGGACCTCAAAACGAAAAAGGAAATCGGTCCCGGGTCCTGGTCTACGGTAATAGCTTATTCCCTATATAGAAAATTCGCTAAAAACGAAAGTGTGTTTTTGTTTTTAGGAATAATTAGATATGATTAATTATTTATCAACTCTAGTTGTACAGTTTCAGTAACAAAATAAGATAGTGATTATGCTAATTTCACCGTGTACCACCTGTGGTACACTTCGACCTGTCATCATATTGAAAACAAGTACATTCCATGAACTTAAAAACAGACTTTGAGCAGTAAAAAATTACTTTTTAGTTCTATTTTTATATTTAAAAATGTTTTTTTTCCTTAAAATAAACAAAAACACATTTATTTTTAACTTGGTGTTTTATTAATAATGTAACCTGAATTTGGTTCATGTACCACCGGTGACGTTTCATGTGGCTTCTACAAACACGAATACTGAACACATAGTATAAACACTCACTAAGACTCCGAAATGGCATTTTGTTGCGCACAATCACCATAGTAACGGTGCCCAATGGTGGCGCATGTCGGGAGTTTTGGGGTTCACCGTGGAGTTTTCAAAAACTTAATCGGTAAAAATATTATCGGAGCAAACGTTTGTAAGAGTCATATTGTAATAAATTTTTTCAAATAATGAAATACCAACATTATTAAGTGGCCCATTTAGAAATAAGTAGAAGGAGATAATTTATTATTATAGACCAAATAAAGATTTTTCCATTACGAATTGAATACCGTACAGGAATGTGTCCTGAGGCAAATTACGAGACTTTGAGTTCTCCTTAAAAGATTTCAAAATTAACCATTAGTTTGGTGATATAATAAAATATGTATCAATAATAAACTATTTGAACACTAAATGAAAGTTAAGTGATATGAAATCAGGTAAATTTTTCCTATGCCATGATGATAAAGACATTTTTTCAAGATTTATTGTAATATTGTTAATTTTTATATTTATACAGTATACTTATGAGGATGTATATTCAGATTTTTTTTGGCAGGTTTGTTAAGATATGTTAAAGTGTTTTCCATCCATTGAATATTTTCTGTCAATATAAACTATAATACATCTGGTTTGTTTCTGACATAATCACCCAGATGTGTTAACCGATTGGGCAAATGTGAAACCTCTTTTAATCACATTTCAATTAATTCTGAGTACACCTGACACCACATCATACATTTTTACGCATATACCGGTGCCTATGTTTCAGATATAATAAAAGTTTAATCGTATACATAATAAAACTACAACATTCACTATGTATTTTTGAGCAATACCAATCTGATGAATAATTATAGCTTAGGTACATAGGTATAGAGGAAAAACGCCTATGGGACCATGCGCTTTCAGCTCTAGCATGTTGTGCCGGAAATACTCTAGACACCAGCGACTAGTGCTGGATACCACTTAAGTGTACTTTACTTCTCTGTGGCTAGTAGCTTATACACTTTTGGGTCTATAGAAAAGGATTTTATACAATTTTTTTTTGTAAAAATAATATTAAATACAATGATTGTAACGGTTATTTGAGTTATTTATTAGTTTACTGGTCCAACCAAATAGTTTATACATGTAAGTAAAGCTGCTAGTGTGTGTTATTGTTGTGATCAACTTGTAGAATTATCTATGTATACTATAATCAATGCCATTACCATAGAATAAATAATACCTGTGCAACATAGTTTAATCAAATATTTTATGTACTAAATTTCAATCAGCTGTTTAACAGAGCAGAATAAAATAAAGGGGAAAGTATAAATAAAGCAAATGTAGACATTGTAATTGTTGTAATAGTTGCTATTAAGACCATTTGACTTTGAAACTCCCAGCCTCAAAGATAGAGTCTTAAACAATTTTTAGATCAGAAATAAGACAGAAATAACGTCCATGGCATTCATAGAACAATTTCCTAAAGTTTCATGTCGATCAGGGGGAAATAAAGGACATACAATTACACTTAAAACTTAAAATTGATTTTATATGGGTAGATTTTTTTCTTCAGGAATACAACAAAACATCTTTCAATATTTCTCACATACAATAGAACTTTTGCAAACTATTAAATATTCCGAATATAGTAGTATGTTTCCTTCTTTTGCATATTATAGTTGTTTAACACTGTGATATTTGATACATTTATTTTCAATTGTTTCAGGGGAATGGAAGTTGTCCATATGTTCAAAATGCTCAGGATAGAACTGTTTACCATCCTCTCCTCCAGGTATAGAGGTTCAATCTTATATCTTAGCCTTACTTATCTTATATCTTATATCTTACCTTCATCTTATATCTTACCTCTATTATGTTACCAAAGTGGGACTATTGGTTTCACCAGCTAAATTCAACATGCTGATGGATAGAAAATGCAATGTCATAGCCTATGTTATATAATGACTTTTGGTACTGTTATTAGTTTTATTGTCATAAGTTTAGTTCATGCTACCATGACCTACAGGGTGTCCACATTCTGGAAAGTCAGGGATGGTCATGGAAAAAAATTATGGTCATTGAAAGTCATGGAAATAGGCAAAAAGTCATGGAAATCTCCAATGATGGAGGGATTTGAGGGGACCATTCAATGCTCTAGTTGACCTTAAACCCATTGTAGCATTTTTCAGGATTTTTCACAAATGTTCGACAACTCAGTTTATTACAGTTGTATTAGTTAATGGGTTTTGAGTCTGTATTTCATTGTTCTACCTATTGTACTCTATGTTATCTGTTGATACATATATCAGCACTTCCTGCGAAATAACTTGTCCAGGCAGTATTATTTGTGTGTGTATGTTATATTAAAATTTCTAAGTAAAGTTTGTGAGTCATGGAAATCAATGGTAAATAGACATGGATAGTGATGGAAAGTCATGGAAATTAAAGACAAATTTTCTGTGGACACCCTGACCCTAGTAAACTTGTTTTAATAGATCGCTCTGTTATAGATACCTCTTTCATATGATCGCTCATCGCATAATTCAACATTGTACATACAGAGTTTCTCATACTATGTTAAAACCATCCCTGGAGATAGCATCAATAAAAAAACATGAAAGATTAAAAATATTATTTAAATAAATTAATAAATCCAAAGATGGGGTTACTTAAATATGTAAACTTATAAAACCAGAAAAACCTCTTTAAATTATACCTAAAATATAAACAATCTTCTGTTTATGTTTTGATACTCTTTTTTGGCGGACACTAGCCAAACTTTGACCACAGCAAGTAAGATTAAAAAATTCGATAAAACAAAAAGGCTTCATAATCTTTTTCATTAACATTTGTGAAAAACTAGCATTCCGATTACTGATAATTAACTTCCCGTTGATGTATTGTGCAAAATGGTGCACCAAACTTATCTGCTATGCATATATTTCCGTATTATTGTAAGATATCACAAATTTTTAAATAATTTTATTTCTATGTTTTAAAGGAGCTGAGACTGTATAGCAGGTCGGCTTCAGGGAAAAAGGAACAGGAACTTGTCAATCAATCTGAGTCAGATTCCGACTCGGATTCTGATTATGAAACTGAGCACAAAGAAAGGGTAAGACATTAAACTGGAAAGTATGTTTTGACCACTCGATTAAGATTGTTATATCTAGTTAATGAAACTGAATATTATAAAAATGTACACGATCATTAGAGAAAAACGATTTTAGATTTAGAGCTATTTTTATTTTTGCCAAACATTTAATTGCCATCAATACATTTGAGTCCTAGCTTTGAGGCTTGGACATAAGGCTAGGAATAGAGGGTTGTAGTGTTATGACATAGCTAAAAGCATTTGGTGATTTGGTAGGATTTGAACCTGGTACCTCTGGGACCACTCCATAATCGCTCCTCTCATTAGTGTCCCAGCGCATCTTACCAGTAGTGAACCTATTTATTAGTACAGTATATCTGTTCATTGCTATTCTTCCCCAACTTTACTTATCTGTTGACACATCTTGTAAGAGAAGGATGTGGTATTGAAAGTACCAAAGAACCAATGACAGTACCTCTATGACAGTAGTAAACTCTGAAAGCGGCTTCAACGTCAAAATCAGTTAAAATCTCCATTCCTTTAGTGCTTCTTTCCATTATTGAAGACATTTGTAAAAATTTCAATACCATTTACCTGTCCTCTGCAGAGTAATTTCATAAACTTCTGTCAACAACAATATTTTAGGCCTCTTTTATGCACGACGTTTTTGGTCGGGCGGAATCGATGTCCCTTTTATGCAGTTTCTCCGCCGAGCGGAATCCGCTGTTTTTCATGATACCCGGTGGGGGTTGTCAGTGCTGCCAACTTTGTTCATTTGGCCATCATCAGTGACAGTGACCCAAGATGGATTCTTGCTTATTGGTTTATACCTATTTGTGCTTAAAGAAAAATAGACGTCTGCGAAGGAGTCGTGGGCTGTACACCTGGTGAATGAAAGTTGTAGGGCTGGCCTTTTGTACAAAAATTCCCGTATCAATCCCGGGGTTATACCTTCGATACAAAAATCCCCATGTCAGTCCCGGGAATACAAAAGTCATATTATTCCTATGAAACAGGAAAGCTGTATTATTCCGCGGATTTAAACAAAAATGTAATTTTCGGCCAGTACATTTTTTTCCCCAATTACATCTCTTTATTTGTACTCTTTAACCTATTACAATGAATAATTATCCTCTATTTACAACGATTTACCCTGTATATTAAGAAAACAACTCGTTTGAAATTTTATTTGTTTTTTTATACTTGTAAAATTGTTTACTGTGATTGAAATTGAAATAATAACTTTTATCATTTTATGATACAATTTTAAGATAAAATTAAGCTCATGGGATGATGATTTATTGGGTGTTAGTAAGAGTGCATATTATAGCTTACAGTTTAACTTATACAGTATACAATTTACAACAGTCAGAATTGCAACTTTATTTTTTATTTCATAGGCAAATGATTTGTTTTTGTTTCAATGTTATGTAAAAACTTAAGAGACATCTAAATTTCATGTAAAACCATTATCTAACATTCATGTTGCTAAAATAGTTTTAAAGATGAATTTTTATAGGGAGCCAGTGAGTTTTGGAGGAGAAAGATGAGGACATTCCATGGAATTTTAGACCTCAACAAAGACGGGGTGATATCGTTCGATGATCTACAGATTCTAGTTGACCGATTTGTAGACCTCGGTCATCTTTCTCCCCACCATCAACAGGAGTTAAACAATATTATCAAGGTAAGTAATTTAATGGTGTTAGGGATAAGGAAACTCAATTTTTAGAAATCAAAATAAATTTGAACATGATAAAATATCTGGAAATTTACAAAATTCACGTGTAAATTTATTTTCAATAAATAAAATTTCAAGCGTGGGACTAGGATCCTCAACTTTGACTACTCTTTAAATCATGTTATTCTACCCAAAGTGGACAGAGTGAAGGATTTGGGGATCATTATTACGCCTAATCTTAGCCCGTTTCAGCACATAAATCATATAACGACCATGGCCTCTCAGGATTAATATACAGATCCACATGGAACTTCAAGTCACCAATTACACAAGTGATCCTGTACAAGTAGTTGGTTCGCCCCATCTTGGAGTATGGGTCTATATGGTCTCCTTATCAAATTGGTCACATCTAGATACTGGCAAGAACACAAGATCGCTTCACTAGGATGCTTGGACCTAGGCTTGGCTTCAGATACCGGGACACACCTATCCGTGAGCTTTAGGTGCAGCTTCATATTCAACCATAACATATAAGACGTACGATCTTTGTACTAGTAGTTGGGGGAGGATCGGGTCCACTGCCAGCCGTCTGTAAGTCAACTATATAGTGCGGTATCCAATTTACAGCGAGATGGCTCAGTGGACAGTCGAGCACCACGTTTGAGTTGTGTGGAACATTTTTTCCAGAAACAATGAATCTATTATTTCTGTGGCACAGCGGCTGTTTCGACAACATTTCAGTGTAGTCCGTAATGGACTGATTCCTCATCACAGATCATATCAAGTTGGGTCGGACAACAGGGTCCGTCACGAGTGGTAAATCTACTGGAGTTACTCCACAAAACATAGAGATCGAAAGAGAGTCAGTGCTTCAAAGTCCACTACAATCTTTTTATAGATTTGTTAAATTTTTAATTTTTTATGGTTTTATTGACACAACCTATTAGCAATTTTGTAACTTACAAAGTTATTTTTTTAATGGGGAGTTTGAAAGTCTCCAGAAATCATTATATCTGTATATTAAGTTCACAATTATAAGGAAAATACTGGGATAAAATGAAACTAAAAACTGTGTTCAGTGAAGAAGCTACTGTATCCTACTAGAATAAAATATACTATTCAATCATATTTTTAAAAAGTGTACCCCACCTTGATCAAAATTTTTCATATGTAAACAATGTTATTGTTATTCACTTGATAACTTTATAAGGCTTTAAATTTTTCAAAAAGGCAACAAGAATAGAGGCCTCTGATAATTCCTGTTGTTTTTTTCATCGATTGAAATATTGGTCATTGAGATAGAGGTTACTTATTTGTAGCATTGAGTTATTTGGAAGTAGATTATACTTCCAGGACAGAGATAACTGACTTAATCATCGTTCTCTTCACGCTTCATAAAGAATGTTAGCGAGTCATTACTCCGTTAACAAAATGTGCTTCAATCAACTATGAGTCAATTATAACTGTTTGGGCCATTCTTGTTTATTAATTGTTATAGAGTTAAGTATGGTGTGTGTTAATGAATCATAAATGAATGAATAAATGAATTTTATTCCACAAAAAATAAAATCATTTTATACATGGAGGTATACAATGATTTGTTTCATTTGTTGGACATACATACATTTGTTACATGGTACATGGAGTTTATTACATATTTTAAAAGTAACTACGCTTTTTAGGAAAATAACACTGAATTGAATATGAATTACATTAACATGAATGGCAACTCTTACGTTAACGGCAAAATAGTGAAGATCTCATGCAATCGCGGAGATTTCATCAACGTCTCTCATGAACGTGTTATTCCAGATTATCGGTAAAATTAATTTGAATATCCTCTTGATCAGTATCGTAAGTCTTATTAATTTACCTGAAAAATTATGATAGTTAATTATGATTATACCTAGTCTTAGTGGGTAAAAATGTTAATTTTTGTTACAGCGTATGTGGGAAGAGCGATGGGGAAGTATTGACCCTTATAACATGGTCACCACGGAGCAATACCTTGATGATATGCATCATGTTATAAATGACAAACAGCTTAGAAAGAAGGTCCACACCTTCCTCCCTTACTTGTTCAAAGTAAGTAAATAAAAAATAGAGAGGTTAAAGTACTTGCCTTCAAATGTTTGAAAAGGATCTATCTAGTACGATTTAATGTTTTAAAATTGAACCCAAATGCCCTTGATAGTGGGTATTTTAATAAACAAAGCCTTCTATTCCTTTTAACTCTTTTAGCTTTGGTTTATAGAAACAGCATCTTAGTCAACTAAGATATAATAAACATCTCACCTCCATTGTACACTAATCTTTTGATCAAATTCTCATTGAAATATGAAGCTCAATTTATTATTAATGACAAATACATTTTGATGACAATGACTCTACTTTTTTATCGATGGGCCCTTAATTGATGATCCTTTCAATAACAAGTAAATCTTTGGTAGCAACTGCAAAATGATTTAAACTGTTCCATTATTACAAACCTACTAAAAAAGAGAGAACTCAAAAATATGATCATACAAAAGACATAGTAGACAAAAGACACTTTTTAGACAATAACCGAAAGACCATTAAATACTTAACCACATGTTTAAAGAACGAATGCCTTTAAAATAAATGAGACTATGTGAAGACTTCCTAGAGCGTACTCTAACTTCTTAGAAACTGGAATCTAATTCTAATCTAATTCTAAAGAAACTACTTATTTTCAAGTAAATGAAAGCTTTGAGACACATGTAGTGCGATAAGAAAATAATTTTAAAATATATAATGTATACTATATTTTTATTTGAATAATTACAGGCTCTTGACAAAGACAGAAGTGGACTGATTTCCGTACAAGAGTACAAGTTGTTCTTTCAGTGTCTTGGATTGTCCAATGAAGTAAGTATATGTTCTTTAAGTTAGTAACAAAATGTTTAGATAGAAAAGAACAGTGATTTACTAATTTAACCCTACCAAATGTATAGTTTACATCAGTAGTTTAGCCAGTACTTTGTAATGGGAGGGGTTACGCAAAGCCGGGTAAGGCACGTCGGACACTGAGTCCGCTCAGTTCAGTCCGCTCAGCTCAGCTCAGGTCAGTCAGCTCAGTTCCCGTAGTTTTCCCACACACTGCGTCAGTTCGGTCCACTCAGTTCAGTCGTTTTTGAGCGCCAAACGCCAATGGACGACAAACACTGACATTGTTCACAAGTAAATTACTTGTGTCGAGATTTCCTAGTTGTTATGAGTTCCACCAGTAGTGATGAAGAAATTGCTGTAATCACATTGGCACTAGCTGCATAAGAATATGATAAAATTGTAAGGAAAAAGAGATGATTATGGGTTCACGGTATCAATGTATCAATGATATTTCCTCCCACGCGGCCTCCTTCATTGTAAAGTTGTAGTAATCCTTGTGTGACAGTGAAATCAGTAGTTCGTCGAAACTCATATTTAATAAATATCAACCAGGAGGCCTACTACAAACATGTGTCAGACCACCCGAGTTCAGTTGCACAAGACTGACAACTCTGCAATGCACATGCGCGGCACCTCCGTACTTTCGCCATCGTACTTCCATCGCTTCCGTCCAAATCGCTCGCTAACCCAAAACTGGCTGAGATGGACGGAGCGGACTGAACTGAGCGGACCCAGTGTGGGGCTCTACATTTGAATACATGTTTTTCGAAATTTGCGAAACGGACTGAAATGGGCGGACGTAGTGTGCGACGTGCCTAACAGATCAGGAGGGTTAGGAAAAACCTAAGTGGTAGGGGGGATCTGGCGGGAACTATCCGAAACTGCTCTCCCCCCATTATTTCAGTTAACTTGGGGTTCTACTCTACTTTTATATATGAAAAATTTTTATCTCTGAATCACGTTCATACAAATAATTTTGTATGTATTATTTTCCATACAAATAATTTTTATTGTATGATTTTTTGCAATGTAGGTACCATATTTTAATATTGGTTAAACTTTTTTTTATTTATGTTGATTGAATACAGTCCTTGTTAGTATTTTAATATTGTGCTACCATTCAAAAGCTTCACTTCTGGCAAAATAAACTTCAGAGCAATACTCTACTCACAGTGGCGTACTGAGATGGGTTGTCTAGGTTGTGTAATCAGAGAATTGTGGCTGAACCTTGTGGTCACTCCAGCCAAAATTCCTATGATACATTTAAAAACCATAAGATCAGAGTGTCAAAACAATAGAACACATAATCAATGAGTTTTGTCTTACAATCCTAACTTGAGGTTTGTTCCCTTAAAATGACAAACTGAATTAAACCAATCATTCATCTTTAAATTTTCAACAGATCCGCCAAACCTTGTTTCAGACAACCACACAATCTCCGTAATATGTCAGTCCACCCAAAAATTCCTGACCTGTCCAACAATAATCCAACCAATTTACGCCCTCAGAGGTCATTTGCCTGTGAAAGCAAGAGGTGCAAAACTTATAATATAAACCAAACATAACTCAATAGGTAATTTCCGAGGTTTCAACACTTGTGAAACAAAGAATATTATTTACCAATGTGATGCACAGTATGTTGGCCTATGCTTCAATAGCCTCAGAACCAGGATGGCCACAGACGTTATGTATTTTTTGTTTTATTTTAAAGAGGTTTCGCAGCCTCTTTTGCCTTGTTTTTGCCTCGTCCACATGGGCCACTGAGGTCTGTACATGGAATACATCCAGCAAAGCAAGAGATGAGCCGGAACAGTACAAGGGTGAAATGTACTGATAAAAAGCTGTGTCAGGTACAAGGATCCGAACCCAAAACATCGCTGCCTTGGGAACAAAGTCTGTGGCGCTACCGACTGAGCCACCGACTCACCATTTTTTATCTACTTGATACAAAGACAAACCAGTAGTACAAAATGCCCAAAGCCTCAAAAACCCCAATTTTAATGACTGTTACACAACAAAAGTTGTCGATCCCTGCCTCCTCAGTGTAATCAGTCACAACTGAGAAAATGGGAATTATCTTACCAGTGCTTCACCAAATCTATACAAATCCCAAACCTAAATCTAGACCTTTCTTGCAATCCACTTCAATACCCAACCTAATAAGCATGCTTACATACATATTTACATATATAAAGTATATTACAAGATCGACTGAAACTGTGATATATAATGTATTCTTGAACACCATTAGGCCCACTGTTTTTGTGACACTGAAATATTCTGGTGCTATGTGCATGTAGTGTAAAATTTTGTGTTTCTTGGACCAGTTTTCACATTCAGGCAATCCTGCTATCCTCACTTCTTGTGCTCTCTCACTCCCAGTACGCCAGAAAACCATCCTACACTGGCCGCAAAGTGCACAATAGCCTACCATCATCACTGAAGTCACTGAAGGGAAAACCACTGAAAACACAGCTTCACAAGTAGCTGATAGACAGACCTGCCTATTCCTTGAAGGAATTCCTCGAATCCGATCTGAATCATTAACTTTCACTAAATTTCTCATCATATTGTTAAAAAAAAATAAAAAAATGCTTGTAACCTACTAGTTTTAAGTTATATTATTGTATTTTTATTGACGCCATTGTATTCTTCTTAATGAAACTACAAAATAATGAATATTTTGATTTGATTTGAATTGATCTATGTTGTATCCTTAAATTATAAATTTGTGTTATATCATCAAACATAAGAATATCTACTAATGTCAATCACTTTTTACACAACTTATGTATGCTGATCTGATATGTTTTTTAGGCGGCTGTGGTCTCATTCAGTGTGATTGACGAGAATAACGATGGCCAGATAAGCTTGAAGGAGTTTGTAAAACTTGGCCGACAATTCTTCCTTTCCGAAGACCACAAGAGCCCTAGCAAGATGTTCTGGGGCCCTCTCACTCACTGACAGATGTGAATTCACATTTACCATATTTTTATATACTCTTGTTTTATTCAAGTCACATTAATAAAGTTGTTTAATTTGATAACCTGAATTTTTTCAACCAGGGGTTGTGAAGGCTTGTATTAGGAGTGATTTTCCCATATTTCTCTCAGTTTAGCCATAGAAAAGTAAAAAAAATACACAATATATTTTTACCACACTACACAGGGAGCAGCTGGTTTCTGCACTCTTTTTAGACCAGAAAGATGTTTACATAAAAGGACTAGTGAAGTCAGCTGGTGTAGGCTACTGGTAAATTTACCAGAAGGTTTTTCAATGAATAGACTTTAAACTAACCTACCTCCCCCACGGCAACAATGCTACCTTCTCGGCGCGTAAAGACTCGCCCACCACAAAAATGCAAATTTTTGTTAGTTTGAATCACATTGATTGACGACCACCATTCTGGTCCCCCATTGTGGTTGCACATAGTAGAGTACCTATTGTAATCATTATGAATTAATTCATCACAGAGGATACATTACGATAGAGAATATTGTGAGATTCCACATTAAATAATATTAAAGTTGAAAGAAATTAGCTCAAATCTGCTGCTTGATTAACTCAAAAACAGGCATAGAGTATTCTATTAGCAAGAAACTCACAGTAGAACAGTGGCGGTCCCAGGGGGGGGGGGCGGAAGCAATATATCCCCCCCAGAAATATTTTACATTTTATTAGCTAACATCAGTGGCGGTGCCAAGGGGGGGGGTACAGGGGCTAAAGGCCCCCCCCCTTTGGGACTTGGAAAAATAAATTTAAACATACATTTCGTCCTTAAAACAAGTAATATTATAAAACAGACATAAATGTAGTTTTTATTAAACTAAATAAGCGATGGCAGAAGTAGTATTAAGTTCCACATAGGTAAACTTTGTGGGGCAATAGCACGACAAATAAAACAATATTAAACCATGAAAAGCTGTGTGCATCATCCAAATTTTACAGCAGTCAGCTGTTGTCATGTTAGGGCAAAGGCAAGCATGACAGTGAGGACAGGGAAAACAGCTGATTTCATGTACCTAGTTGTCAAATTGTCTGCTAGCTACTTACTTAGACAGGCATCAGCCATCAGCGGTAGCACCTGACGGTAGCGGTAGCCTATTACCATTGACTATGCAAACACTAGTGTTTAAGTTTATAATGCTATTACTGAATTTGATACTATACATATTGTGAAAGATCTATAAAATGGAGAAAAACGTAAGGTTAAAAAACGTGTCTACTTGCTTGCATGACATATAACAGGTGAAATGGGAGATTTTTGTACAGTTGGACACAGATATAGACATTAATAATGGCTTTAGAAAGTCAGTAGACAGCTTTTAGGAGGATATGGCCTACAATATATTGAGATTTATGAATCCAATCGTCATACAGTGGAACCTTGATAAGATGACCCTCCATAACAAGCCGCCCTTATAAAAAGTGTCATTTTCAAATCCCCTTAAAATTATTTTACCCCTAATCACAAGTTATTACAAACCTCGATAAGAAGTCAACCTTGATAACAAGTCTTATTTTACAATCCCCATGAGAGTCTTGTTATCAAGGTTCTACTGTAGTTATTTTTAAAAATGTCTACTTGTTCATGACAAATAAATGGGGAAATGGGAGGTTTTGCACACAACTCTAGACGTTAAAAATGGCTTTAGAAAGTCACCAAACGGCTTTGAGGAGGATATGGCCGTAGTCTACAGTGTGTTTTGTTTTCATTAATGCAATCGTCATAGTTTAATTTTTAAAATGTCTACTTGATCATGACAAACAACAGGTGAAATGGGAGTTTATGGACAATTGGGCACAGTTTTATGTGTTATAAATGGCTTTAGAAAGTCACCAAACGGCTTTGAAAATTCCAAATTTTCCCGGAGGGGGACCTCCGGACCCCCTACTTAATTCCCCAAGCCCCCTCCTTGACAGGGTCCTAGAGCCGGCCCTGGCTAACATAAATACTATTAGCTTGAGCATATTTTAGAGCTCAAATATGTATAAGAATATGTTTTTAGGCTTTAAATTCCACATTTTTCCAGGGGGACCCTCGGACCCCCTTTTTTCTGGGGGATATTCGATACTCCCAGAAATGAAATCCTGGGACTGCCACTGCAGTAAAACACATCAAAAATCCTGATTAATTGGAACCTGACCCCATCCAGATTTTTCAAACCATCCAGATTATTGAATTTGCCCTAAAAAAGGGCCAGCAAGCACTTTTTTATTAAATACTTTCTATAAATTGCATTATAGAAGGGATCTAAAAAAGAGATGAATTATTACCCCTGCCATGGCAAACCAGCACATTAAACGAATTTCCTTTTGGCTGATAGGATTTTCACTAAAATATCTCTATAAAATGTCAGGTTTATTCAGTGGCAAATTTATATATATACATGGTAATATGGTACATGGTATATATGTACATGGTGTATGGTGCTGCCCCAAGGCCCGTTCAGCCCGGAAATTTAGGAACATTTAGGAAAAGTATCCTCCAATTTCTCTTCTCTAAAGAATGTGCTCATAGACGGAGGGGTGCATTTGATGTAATTGCATTTAGTCAATTTTGAAAAATGCATGCACACACTCCCAAAAGATGACTCTAGGGACTAGGTTGGTATTGTAAAGGTTTTGCAGTTTTTGTTTTTCTAAAAACTAAATGGTAAAAATAACAATTACTACTGTTGTGCAATGTAAAAAAAAATTAAAATTAAAATTTAGCCATTAGCTGTATGTCTAAGGATTGTGTCTAAGGAATGTCGGCCTTAGTCACTAACAAGACTACAAGATTGCGCCACTCATCTCCATTCATACTTGGCTTAAAATACCTACTTTGACTTTGTATGGTCGCCATTTAATAAGAAAGTATTAAAGTATTAAATGTTGGCAAAAGACCTTTTGATTAGGAAATGGTCCTTCCAATAATATATTCTGTATTTCATTACACTGGTACACTCCTAATGAATTATTTGAATTTTATGTCTCAAATCTAATAAAAAACATTTAACTACATTACATGCAATAACAGTTTGGTTGAGAGGGCTTGCCCCTCAAAGTAAGTTATATATAGAAAATGGGTATTGTACCCATTAGAGCTTGGTTAACCCCAAGGTTGTGGAAGGTTTTTTTTTTAATTTGGTGGTTCTTCTGGGTCTGACCTTTCCAGGTATAAGTCATGGCCAGATCTAGTGTCATTATTTTTGCCATGGCCCATGGCCAATGTTACTGTTCTTGACTCAAAATTTTTTTTCTGCTGAAGCTAATAAATGTGCAACCTGAAACAATTAGTTGTAACACCCACAAAAGAGTTTAAGTTGTTATTGAATTTCAAAAATCTTTTCCAAAGGTAGTAACATAAGAATGTTGTCTTAAAACTTGAAACAACCAACTTTGTACTAATGACACTGATTATCGACTATAGTATCAAGTACCAAATATCCTATAGTAACAATTAGGATACTAAAATTATGGCACCAGTTCCAATAACCGAGATTTTTGTATTTGTGAACAGAAACCGAAGAGGCAAAAATTAATTTCAAAGTACAGTAATAATAAAATACTTGGTAAAAAAATTGCTATCATAATATTTTCAAAAGGGTTTAAAAAAATATTGTTGTTAATTTTTTTTATTTATCAGAATAATGTAGTTTTTTTATAGGCTTGATATGCAAATACTGTATTTGAATAAAACACTTTTTTTAATTTTTCCAAAATGTGTTGAAAATAATTCAATTGTCTAACAAATATAGCTTCAGTACTATTTTCTAAGTTTTAGTAAACCTATTTTTAGTAAAATACATATTTTAACTTATATGAGTTTAATATATCGTGTATTATTTGCTCTTAAGGCTTAAAAATGTTTGAGTAAATGCATTAGTAATATTTATTTTATATATTTCTTAAAATATTTAAGTAAAATATTATTTCAATATTTTTTTTCAAACGGGTTTAAAAAATCAATATTCAAACCGTGTTATCACCCTAGAAATTTCCACTCTTTGGCCCATAAAATACCTTTTCCAATTACAGATTTAGCAATAATCTGTATCACCGGCCCTCTTTTGGAATGGTTTGACAGCTACCTATCAGGGACGCACACTCAGAGTCAAGCTTTCATCCAACATCTCCAAACCGATTCAGGTGACTTTTGGTGTGCCACAGGGTTCACACTTGGGACCATTCTTGTTCAGAATTTTTTTTTCAATGACGTTGGAGCAGTGACGTAGCCAGGATTTCGAAATAGGGGGTCGACCGACCGAGGGGTATCCCATACCCCCCAGGTAAAAGGGGGGTCCGGGAAAATTTTTTAAAATATAGGCCCTAAAACTGTATTTTTTTTAGCTCTCTTGGCATTGGAAATAATGACCCAACGTCAATACAGTATGATTATATCATTTTACATTTAATTTAACAAAAAAATATTATATTTAAGACCGGAAGGGGGTGTCCGGACCCCCAGGACCCCCTGGCTACGTCACTGGTTGGAGACTCGTTGAGCTGAGCTGCGAGTATCTCTTATTCGCAGACGATATCAAGATCTACAGGAAAGTGTCTTCTCTGCAACATCAGCACGAACTCCAAGAAGCCCTTAATACCGTTGGCATGTAGTGCACCAACAACTTAATGGAACTTAATGCTGGAAAGTGTGTAGTTATGTCATTTGGATAATCTCAGAACTTGCTTGTCTACGACTACACAATTCTAGGCATTCAGCTAAAAAGAGTATATGGGGCTAGAGATCTTGGAGTGTTCATAACCCCTACTTTGGACCCAGGTGAACACATACAGAGAATATACAAGAAGGCCAATTGTGTACTCTGGGTTTCATTGTCTGTATTTCAAAGAGTGGTGCTTTCTCTACCAATACTTTGAAGATCTTGTATGTATCCTTGGTGAGATCTATTCTCGAATACTGCTCCAATGTATGGTCTCCATTCCAAGTTGGCCATATTAATTCCTTGGAAATGGTCCAAAAGCACTTCCTTTGCCTGGTTGGTGTTTGAGCAGGGATTCGCTATACAGATGTAAATACTGATCAGGTTGCAGCTCAACTACAGTCGCTGCCCTTTTCATCAAGACAAACTGCATTATTGGACCTGATTTTCCTGTACTAAATTGTCAACTACCTGGTGGACTGCTCTGAGATTCTCCAGATGTTGAATTTCCAGGTTCCTCAGAGAACACGGGAACAGAACGTCTTTGCCAAGCTGCACTACTCTACCTCCTACATGTACCAGAGTCCTGTACCTCGTCTAATGCGTCTCGAAAACAATGCCCACCTGGAGTTCTTCGGAGATGGTCATGCTGTCTTCAGAAGAGATGCATTTTTGAGTGTTGTGAGTCTTGCATGTAGTGAGTCAACGTTGTGTTGCACCTTGTGTTTTTGTTATGATCAAGCTTGGTTGAATACATTATCTCTTGTTCATGTTGACCCTGTTCTTGTGTTTTTTTTTGGTCAGAGTCTACTTGTTACTATTGTATGTACTATTTATTAGTATTGTTATTATGTCCTGTTTATTATGTACCGTATGCAAATGCATCTTGTGTCTCATTTCAGTTGTATGTCTTTGCTTGTTAACCATCACCTGCACTTTTTCTTGTAATGCTAGGTTCTTTTTTTTTTGGTATGTTGAGGCCCGGTATGCACGAGCAACATTAACATACCTAGCTGACTAGGCTGTGACTAGGTAAGCCCGACTGGGTAGCGTACCACAGGATACACCGGTTCACACGAGCGACATGTCCACGGACTAGATGAAAATATCGATATCAAAACCACTCGGATCCATCACTGGTGCACAATGAGAACAAAGGGAAGAATGCGAGCTGCAGCGCGACTACCCAATTGCTCGTGTGAACGTTCCCATAAGGCTACGTGTGCTACGCCGCTACTGGGTAGCTGCCATGAGTGACTGGGAAGCGGGGCCCGACTATGTTTTGGGACACAAAGCTCGAACACGGCTCGCTAGTCGTCGCCCTACGCTCGTGTGAACGGCTCCAATTGATCCTTTGGTCCGCTACCCAGTCGGGCTTACCTAGCCACAGCCTAGTCAGCTAGATATGTCGCTCGTGTGAACAGGGCCTTAGAGTCTGATTTTCACTCACAATTGTATGCACTATTTATTAATATTATCACTATGTCATATTATTATGATTTGTATGCGTCTTGTTTCTCATTTCAGTACTATGCCTTTTGCACGTTACCTGTATTATCCTCTGTAACATGTTAAATTTTGCCATGAGATTTTTTGTGAAAGGTGCCGATTTAGCTCCAATGCAATGTCATGAATGTGAATTTGTAAATCCCGCCAACATTTGAGTCGGCGGCTTCCATTCGCACAGCGCCGAGCGCTCTGCGCCATAGACAGTCGAGTCAGGGAGTCGGTCGAAAGCGTCTATCCACTACGAGTACACGAGACAGACGACTGTCAACCATGCACGGTTCCACGAGGACTAAGGACCACGACTCTGTGTAAGGTAGTCATCACCATGCTTTGAATTAGACATTTGTCGTACCGTTCGTTCAAGTCTAGTACAAGTTCAAGTTTCATTGAACATTCTGATAAAGTCAGCTTAACGTAAAACTTGCTTGCGCTAATTGTTCGTATATTTAGTATTGATCGAGAGTAAACATCATTGCAGACATACATTGACATTTTGTCCCTCACATAATTCGATACTTTTACTTGTAATTATTTATTGAACTTGATTGAACAGTAATTACATTCAAAAGGAATTTACCGTCACTCTCATCCTCCCACAGAGGAGGAACCTGAAACCATTTAGCTGTTTTAGTCATATTAGTAAACCAAACTTCTCTACCAACATATTAAAAAAAAAACCCGGTGTATGGTTTACAGTAGTATGTTGTGTGTTGTGTGGTTTTAATTAACTTAACGGCTATAATCAAAGTTATCATAATGGGAGTTAGCTAATGTTTTGTGTGACGAATTATCTGTAGTGTAAACAGGTAAATACTGTGCGACATCAAGTGTAGTTCTATCTTAATTAAACGTCTAAAATCAAAAATATATATCGTTTTTTGTGACGAATAATCAGTAGTGTAAACAGGTAAATACTGTGCGACATCTCACATCAGGACGAGTAATCTGATTAAATAATCATGATACTAGCTTATTTATGAAATCTGTGTAAATATCGATGTAAACCATCCTTAACTGTGGTTTGCCCGCAGCATCCTCCGATCCTATCTGTGGTTCGCCCACAGCAATTAGCTTTAGTTCCCTGTGGTTCGCCCACAGCACTTAGCTATAGTAAACTTTAATTCCCTTTCCCTATGGTTCGTCCACAGCAATTAGCTTTAGTTAGCTTTAGTTCCCTGTGGTTCGCCCACGGCAATTAATTATAGTTAGCGATAATTCTCTGTGTTTCGCCCACAGCAATTAGTTATAGTTAGCGTTAATTCCTTTTCCCTGTGGTTCGCCCACAGCATTTATCTTTAGTCTCTGTGGTTCGCCCACAGCAATTAGTTATGGTTAACTTTAATTCCTTTTCCCTGTGGTTCGCCCACAGCATTTAGCTTTAGTTAGCGATAATTCCTTGTGGTTTGCCCATGGCAATTAGTTATAGTTAGCGATAATTCCCATTCCCTGTGGTTCGCCCACAGCAATTAGCTTTAGTTAGCTTTAATTCCCTGTGGTTTGACCACGGCAATTAGTTGTTGTTGTCAATAATTCGTCCTAACTGTGGTTCGCCCACAGCACTCCGTCCCGAACTGTGGTTCGCCCACAGCACTCCGTCCCGAACTGTGGTTCGCCCACAGCACTCCGTCCCGAACTGTGGTTCGCCCACAGCACTCCGTCCCGAACTGTGGTTCGCCCACAGCACTCCGTCCCGAACTGTGGTTCGCCCGCAGCGCACCTTTCTTTACATATAGAAAACAAATATGGCAATGATGATAACGTGGGTCCGATTGTTGAAGATTTGATATCTTATACCCTTTGTCTGAGCCTGAGCCATCCCTTCTCTTTTCAGAATATTAGTTCGCTCTTTATTGTCGATCCGTTAAGTGCAGAAGACCTCAAGTAGAAAAACAGAGCCAGGAGCGTTAACCGCTTGTCCCGAGCTCCGAGCAAGGAATCTTTTTGTAAATATAAGCGTAATCGAACAAGCAATTCCGAACTTATCCCACCTTGGAATTTAAACTATATATAGGGAGGAAGGTTGGAAGATTGCTAGGGATTGTTATTTACATCTGTTCGATGAGTGTATGTTTTATCTATGGCTCTATGGTTGTACTGAAATGTTTAACACTTTGCAGTTCGTACAAAAGAATACTACTTACTTACTTACAGTAGTTAGAACCAGGAATACGATAATCACAATCTTGTATTTGACTCAAAACTCAACAGGGAAATGCTCGTTCTGAGTGCAACATGAATGTGAGTTTCCCTAAATCAATCTCTGATTAATCCCTTCTGCCGCACTCTGTATTATTCTGTAATAATAATAGAAGGTTTGAGACACCATCGCAGGGCACATCCTAGGGACGTGTTAAGCCCATGCAACCCCGACAATCTGCCACCAAAACGAAGGAGTAGTCAAGATGAAGATCACACACCTAGTACACCTACCTAGATCACGCGCACAAGTAGTGGTTGATGGGGGCAGCACCTAGACGGGAGAGTGAACGATAACAAACCACTTCGGAAAATTGTGTGGTGGTGTGTTGTTGTATTGGCACGTTGTTGGGAGGCGGGCCTGTTTATGAGCGTGCACGTTAACCACGGCCACCTTTAACATCCCTTCAATTCTCTATGTTTTATTTTCAATATTTTAATAAATTTATCTTCATAAATTTAAATTTAAATCAATAAATTGCGAATTAATGAGCTGATGTCACCTGTCTGCCATGTTATCTTATGGGACGTCTGTCACTAAACAACACCACTTGCGACGTTGCCAATTCTACCAGACCGCGGCCTGTAGTTAAAGGCGGCCGTGACGTTAACCCGCCACCACGTGATGGCAGGTAGTCGGGTGGCATCTTGTTGATAATCTTGTAGCGTGCGTGGTGGCTGGTTAACGCGGGAACGTACCAGGAGTGCTACAACAACCTCTGGTGAAAACTGGAGTTTGTAGGATGTCAGGGGGGCATCTTGACGGGAGAAAGCGTATCAACCTGCCACCTCAGATAAATGTGTGTTGGCATTCATTAAAAACTAAGGAAAGTGTATAACAAAGTGTTGAGATAAAATTATAAAATGTTGGGATATGCTGAAGATTTATCTGGTGATGGTATGGATAACAACGACGATAAAATGTATTTACTACTCTAAATAAATTTGCTTTAGACTACAACAATAAAAATTATATGTCAGATCAAGGAAAAGTGACACTATTTTATATAGCTTAACTTACTAGGTTTTCGTGAGTATACATTTTCATAGATTAGCCTACGAGGTGAGGTCATGGTGCTATATACATTTACTTTTATGAAAACGGGAAGATATGAGAGCAGGTAATTTTAGCTTTCAAGTTTATGCTGTTGGTACTGGCAACAACTGATCTGCCTGGCAACAGCAAGCAGCAACATTGAACCGAACGTCTGTTTCGTCGTTTCGTGCTGTAATAAGTGTTCTTTGTGTGTGTAGTGTAGGCTGCTGTCAGGCAGTCTGTCGCATCTTTGACAATTTAGCAAACATAGCTTCTGCCATAAGCAGCAAAGTATTGTTCATAATGAATCTGAATTTTTCGTCTTGTTTCTTTACATCAAAAGTTAACAGTTGACAATCCGTTTCGGTAAGTAAAATGAAATATCCATGTTTGTTATTGTAGTTGACACTTCGGGGAAATCAGCTGGTCTTGTACAGTCAGCAACAAAAGCCTATGGAAACATCCGAAAATGATGGCAACATGATTATATATTGATTGAAATCGCCTTATTTTAACATTGTATGAACTAATGTAGGTAATTTTAATGAAAATTTAAAATGCAAATAACGTAAAAATTGATGCCAAATACAATTTTGAAGTAAATCTAAGACAACTTCTACTTTCACCACATAACTGTGTCATATGTTTTGGATTCAGTCCTAATTTAGTAGTTCAATCATCAAGCATTATTGACTTAAAGTTCGTGACTTAATAGTTTATGTAGTAGCAAAAATGTCTAAGGATTATAAACAGTACAATATGTAAGTATACCTATGCCTCCAGCTCAAGCTGCAAGTGTATTGGTATCATGGAGTTGAAATTATAAATGATAGGCTTAGGTAACATATAATGAGAGATTCAGAATGATAATATTTATTTCCCTTTGAGCAAGGCTTTCATTGCAATTGGCATTTTCAAAATAAAGCAAAAGATTAACAACTAATCAAGTAATACACAAACAAATGGAAATCAAAATTGGCTTAAAAGGTTTCATTAATAAGCCTAGGCCTATATTCCTTTGTTTAGCCTCATAAACCGCATTAAAATTTAATTGACACCTACACATTGAACCATTATAGTAGGTTATAAGTTAAATATGCCTAACTTAGGCTAGTTGTAACTGTCAAAGTAAGTTGATATTTTATTTGTCACTTGAGGCTTTTTTTGGTACTTTGGTAGGCCTATTATACGGAAGCCACATATCTTATCTATTTATTTATTTAAACCGCCGCAGTGCGCTGTATATGGGTGTACCAGAGTAGGCCTACTCCTTTTTCTCCATTTTTAGCCATGCCGTTTTTTAGGGATCATAAGTTTACATTCGATCACAATAAGTGAGCCTGGGATTAGCAACTTTAAATCTTCTTGGTAAAAGAAATTGTTTATTTGCCCTTAAAAAAGGTCACATATGTTAGACATCAGTTATTGTTATTAGAGTAGACCACATGTAAAATTGTTTGTTTTGAGTTAGTGTGATGTTGAAATAGAATTACCGGTAAGTTATTATTTAAAATAAAAGAAGCTGTCATATTTCCATCAAACCATTCTACTGCGGAGGTAGGTAAACAAAATATGTGACTTAAAGTTTGGTAAAAACATAACTCCTGGACAGTTCCGCAGAAAACCTGCCTATTGTCAGTTCAAATATCAATACATCGCTTTTGATTCGGTTCGGGGGTTTTTTTCTACAAATGGCTACAATTTCATTATGCTAACATCAAATTGAGCTAACTTATGATCTGTTTACGTTTTTATTGATGTTTAATAAAATGAAACTATCAATATTTAACCACATATATTTCATGAAAGTTAACAAAACAAACTAGGCTAACTCTACTTAAGTTATTCATAAATAACTGCATATATGCCTATGGTTATAAAATTTTTACTTTCTTCCATTTTTAGTCCTAACAATTTTATATAAAACTAAGGATAGAATAAAAAAATCAACTTTATGAATGTTTTTGTTAGGCTATTTATTATTTCTTTATCATTTCTTTATCTTTCATCAATTTTAAAAGACTGCATTAACCCTTTCAGTGTTATATCGTTGTGCATCTTTTTCCTGAAAAGTGCTGCAGAATAAAATATCGTTGTTCGTGTTTCATCCGAAATGTGCTAAGCGACAATATATCGTGCCGGCGCCACTTTCGATCTTGTGAGTTTAAATGGGCATATTGGTTGACTCGGTTGTTGTTACAAAACGGTGATGTTCCTTATAGCCTACGATTGAGGCCCAATATAACTTATCGTTCCTTTGGACTCTTGATATGAAACATTTTATTTTTACCGATTTTTTCTCATACTAGACTTTGCCCCCATGGCAAGCCTAGCACTTTTCAGACAAAATAAGTAAATAACTCTACTAGCATTTTTTTGAAAATAACAATAAAATTTAAGCATCAAAAGGGTTTAAGTTTAAGTTAGTTAAAGTTTTACCAACTTCCTTCACATATGATGAATTTATATAGCCTAGCACGGCCATATAGATGTACATTAGGCATAAACAGAACAACTAGTTGCAGTGTGAGGTAATAAGCCTAACTTACAGCAGATTAAAGAATTTGCATTGTCCAAAATTGAATGCATGCTGTTAATTTTGTTTCTGATAGTACAGGCTGGCTGATGTATAATAATTTAGTTCACATGCCAATAACATGATTGTTTAAATTTTTATATTTATGTATCCGTAATCGTGATAACTCGAGTAATTTTGGTCCGATTTTGATGAAATTTGGCTTGAAGGTGCAGGGAAGGTTAAACTTTAATTTGCGAACCGGCAAAATCGAGTCATGGGATTTGAGTAATGTGTTCTTTTTAAATTGTAAAAAAAAATTTTTTTTTTTCAAACATTTACCCTTAAAACATGAAAATGCCTGATTTTCATTACATGTAGAGCCTACCTCTACATTCATGTAGAGCTTAAAAAAGCAAATAATCTTGGATATTGAATCATTGCTGTAAAACAGAGAAAATTAAAATTGCTACAGAGGAAATTAAAAAAAAAAACTGTATCCTACATTTAAGATTTAAGACGTGCCACCTACGGTAATAGCTACTTCCCCATAGGGAAATTCGCTAAAAAAAATCCAATCAGGCAAATTGAAATTTACTTCGTTTGCCAGTGTGCTGCGGTGGAGATATTTTACTATAAATATCATTTAGGAATGTATTGTCTAACTTGTGTCAGTTGGTGTATACAGTTATTTTCTTTGATCATTTTGTATTTACTTTCATCTATAATACCGGAACATGTTTGGTTGGATTGAGAAGGTGGATGTTGGTGATGTGATGTAGCCAATTGTACTGTAGTTACATCACTGTCTTGGCATATTTTGAAGGAAGACTACCAAGTGAAGCTTATGCAACTATTGTGTGACTGTATGTAATCTTGGACCTGGTCAACTAAATCTTCTGTCACTTCATTATCATCGATAATTTCTCCAGATAATATTTGTTTCCTTCTCCTTAGTTACACATTTGGCAGTTTTAAATGTGAAGAGCTCCAGTTCTCGCTATTCTAACATGTGCCACAAGAAAAAAAGCTTATATTGTTTCTATTCAATCTATTATCTTCTATTTGGTACTAATGTTTGCTGCTACAGGCAAGGAAAACGTGTTTATTTTAGGGAATTTCCCAAATAGGGAATGAGCTAATACCGTAGGTCTCATGGTAAGACCTGTACCCGGGACCGATTTATTATGTCCAGAGGCTAAAAACACCATCCGTTTAGATTGTACAATTGTTTGTTTGTTTGTTTGTTGTTTGTACAAACAATTTTGTAGAGCTTAAAAAAAATAATTTAGTATAAAAAAATTTTAAATTTAAATATTCCCATGTTATTCTTGTTAAGAATAAATACGCCGTTGTAGTGCTTATTTATGGATATATTTTGATCAATCCTGGCCAATTTATTTATTTTATATTAAAGCTATTAAAATTTAATCAAAAACACACTTTCTTACCCTCCTTTAGCAAAAAACCTAAGTAGGTACTCGTTAAACCTAAACGTTATTTAAATAGGGAATAAATCTGACACGTTTAAGAAAACATTTAAGGCAAAATCCAATCAATCAAATGGAAATTCGCTTAACCTGTTGGTTTGCTGCGGTGGGGGTATTTTTGTAATATTTTAACAATAAATACATTTGCTTAATTTGATCAAAATACAATTATTAGCGAGCAAAATACACCATTATACGACCATTTACTTTGTTTCATGGAATAAAATGGGAATTTAAATGTTAGGTTTTAGCACTTCAATGAAAAAAAAAATACTTGTTTTAAAAAGCACTGTACAATGGTTATAGTTACAAAGACTTTTAGGTTTTGGTCTTGTCTTTTCCCCCACATAAATCGGGGTAAAATTTTGTTGTTATAATAGTGTTTTCGTTTTCCTTTTTGACATTCCTAATTCCTAGATATGTAATCCATTAATATTTTGTTTTGATCCTTCCTGGTTGTCCAATACAAAATTTACAACAATCTAACAATATTTTACTTGCAATACCATACAATAATTTACATATATATACCATATTAAATAGCTATAATAAAGGGCTACCATAATATAGAGTGTGTCCGTATTAGTTCAATGTAAATACGTGTATCTATGCTCTCATTGGCGACTGGCGAGTTGCCAAATACATTTACGTCTACTACATCAATATCACGACACACGAGTGTAGGTCTCGTGTGTACATCCACCAAACTCTTGCAGCCTAAGAGATATTCTGCCTCTTTGCATATTGATTTTTGGGCCATCTTATTACATGTGTATAGTAAATACGGAATAGTATTAAAACAGTGAACATTATTTATGTGCAAGGAGTCTTCAAAACCTATAAATAAATCTTCAGTCCAAGTTTAGGGGTTAGTGGGGCTGTGGATCATCTAAGTACGTAGGAATGCGCTGAATGTTGGATCGTTGGCACAATTAGATACCATGTACTAAGTAATGTACTATACTATGTTTGTAGTCCTGCATAGTAAATTGGGTTATTAGAATATCAGTGATATAGCGGCGCAGTGGTTTGGCCGAATGTCAAAAAGCGCTGATTTATCCAACACTGCATGGCATTGTTTCCATTTACCTACTTTACTGTGTTTATGTTGAGGAGGTGTAATTAAACCGATTTTACATTTTGAAACGTACTTGAGAATTTTCATCACTGTGATCCTAGTCAATTTATCTGTTTCACTTTGTTTCCAAGCTAGGTAAAACAATTGAATAAAAATGTCTTTATTGACCTAGCCTAGTTAGTTTTCAGAAAAAATTTGAAATAACTCTTTTCTTTATTATTGTTGATTACCGGTACTTAAAATTAAATAAACCATTTATCAATCAATGTGTAAAATTATTTTT